TGCCTTTTCTTGACTTTGAAATTGATAATATTGGTCCAAGAAAAGAGGCAAAACATGCGGGCCGCCATCTTAGATTATACATTATAATCCAAGATCATTTTTATTGATAGGCGATCAGAAATTATTATCCGATCTCACCTGATCGGCTCAAGATCGGCTCAAGATCGGCCCCCAATCTGATGATCGTTTACAGGCTTAACTATGTTGACCTAATACATGCAGATGTAGGTTTTGTACGAGGGTACAAGCCTCTTAAATATTTCTTTTATTTTTGACTTGGTACATTTACAGTGTACCTACATGTACATGTATGATTTGCAAACACAGTGCTCACACTTCAAATGTGTACTAATGCTGTTTACATGTACATGTATGAATGATTATTGTATGAATTTTACTTCATAATGTACATGTTATTTCATATACTGTTCATGTACTTGATATTACGACATGACCTTTTTTTAGAGTATCTAGGTCATTGCTCTCAAAAGGCACGTACAGGTATTACATAAATGTTGTTGTGCATGGCTCTTTCTTAATATGTGCTCTATTGTTTTGAGAATAATAGAGTTAAAAAGGGGCAAAAACATCTCTGAACGTGTATGTACATGATATGTGTGAACATGTAGACTTAAACTTTGGAGTAGTTTGGTCAAATTATTCAAGATATTTTCCAGGTAAATGGGTTGCCAAGGCAGCAATACTATTCCCTTGCAATCCATTGCCTACATGTACATGTAATACATGTATGAATGACAAAAGTACAAAACCAACTCAATTCTCCCTACCTAAGAGCTAAAAATATGCAATTCACAAACTTATATTTCAATTTAATTAAATAAATATGCTTTAGAAATAAATGGATATCGTTTCAGTTGATGATAGGTCTTTTTATAGGTGTGAAAAAGACCTCCCGTCAACTGAAGTCTGAATTGATATTCATTTATTTTTCAAAGCATATTTACATTTACATGTACTGTACACTGTATGTAATTAAATTGATTATTTAGTTGTTTCCAAAGCAGTAACTGTCTTTTTCCGTCGCATTATTAGAACAGCAACTTAATCTTAACTTCTGCCGCTGCATGCACACAATTTTTAGTGTGGTGAAAATTCTCGTTCGGGGACCCGATACCCGCCAAAAATTCAGACCCGGGTTCGGCAAAACCAGTGATGACAGCAGAATGCGTGTTTAAGAACCCCCGTAAATTAGCGCTGAACAAAATGCATTATTGGAAATAAATTTTGCTATACTGTATAGCGAGAATTTAAAGCTTTCAACTGACATGTATTTACAGAGCACATGAGAAACATATACCCTGCACGTCTGCACTGCATATGGCCATGCATGTCTATGTGTACATGTACATGTAGGCCTAGTGTGCATTTTTTGTACTGGCAGATCTCTGCAAAGTAGAAATCCATGGGGATTTCTGTAAAGGGATTATCAGATTATCCCAAAACTTGGCATAACAATCAAGTACATTTTGTTCTTTATTTTGAACAGGTATCACTACAACAAATTATTCTTTTTAGAGTTATAGTGTAAAATGTAGGACTACTCGCCCTGAAAATGAAATTGAATGAATCTTCGTCTTCCAGTTGATCAAGACGAAAAGCATTTATTCTTCTCAATACAGTAGGTTTCAATTTGGGGGTACACGTGTAATGCTCTTGATATTCACACAATTTTTTACTTTTTTGTTGTTGCTACCAGTGTTATGGCCTGTTTTCTGAGTTGCTAAGAGTAATGCCTAGGTCACGTTTGCTCTACGGGTAGGATACGACGGCCGTAGGCCCCCCCCCCCCCCCCGAAATTGAGAGATACATTGTACCTGCAGCGGCCGCAGGGTCACCCTAGGGCGTATCCCGATCTTTACAGGCCGTACAGGTCGCCATGGGATTAAAACGCAGAGTTATTAATTTTTCATTTCTAGCTTCAAAATTAGACTATTAGACACACCGTAGCCAATTTAGCCATGCAGTAGAGCGGTTCCATGGCGACCATATGTCGGGTGTACGGTGGCATTGTGGCTACTTTGCATCTGTCTTGGTATTTGTCAAAAACCTACGGCAGCCGCAGGGACACCCTGAGGCGGCCGTCGACATCACTTCAAAGATCGTACTGCAAACAGGTTTTCTGTCTCCACAAATTTAAAATATGCCATGCAGCTACGCCATGCGGCTAGCCTAACATGTGTGACTGCTACCGTATGTGACTGTGGGAATGCCGCAGCGGCCCTATAATTGCCATTGGCCGTAGATATTTTAGACCCCACGGCCGCAGCTGCAAATGTGACCTAGACATGAGTGAAATGCGTATTAATTAATGTACATTAATTAATGTACACTGTGGAAATAAGATCTCACGGCTAGGCTACCGTACTCACGACCCCTCCCCCTAAAAGTGTAGACTTTTGTTGTTTTTCTATTTCAAATAGAAGAGAGAGAGAGCTTTTTGTACAATTGGTAATGTGCAGGATTAGTTTATTCACTTCATTCTCCAGAATAAAAGTGCAATTAAGTAGACATTATTTTAAAAGCAATACGGTAGTTCATTTCACGCTGCTGATGAAATAATAAAGCGACAGTGCCAAAGATAATCAGAACCCCTCTAGTTACGATTGATGTCAGTATCATAAAAAAAGGACTCAAGATTTCTGAAAAGAGATGATTGATTTCAAGTATCTAGTTGACTTACACGTACTAATCATCTCTTGAAATATCGTAAGGAAAATGAGAGAGAAATAAATGAAAAGAAAAAACAGCAGCCTCGATATAACATGGGATTGAAAATCAAGATGAAGAAGGAGAAAATAAAACATGATGTGGGAAAACAAGGGAGGGGGAGGGGGAGGAGCAGGAGGAGGAGGAGGAGGAGGAGGAGGAGGAAGAGGAGGAGGAGGAGGAGGAGGAGGAGGAGGAGGAGGAGGAGGAGGAGGAGAAGGAGGAGGAGGAGGAGGAGGAGGAAGAGGAGGAAGAGGAGGAAGAGGAGGAAAGAGAGAGAGAGAGAAGGAAGAGGAGAAAGAGAGGGAGAAGGAATAGGACTTAGGAGGATAGAGGGAAGAGAAGAAGGAAATACGCTGGAGGAGAAGCAGGGGAGAATGTAGAAAAGGTGGAAAAGATGGAAGATTTAATTTGAGATCAAATTACCAAAGCGCAAATTTTAAAACTTGCACGGCCGCAAGTATGATCTGTAAAACTATAGATGCCTAGATCTATGGGTTAGTATGTAGAATGGAGAGATTTTTTTTTCCTTTTTAAATTTTTGTTATATTTTATTGCAACATCTATTTTTTCCCCCATCACCTCAGGTAGGTAAAATTTGAATGGGAACATCATTACAGAAGGCTAGGCAACGAGCAAAAATGATCAACAACCATACACGATAAGCTTCTCATAGCGACAGCGCAATGTGCAGTTACCAGAATTACATGTACATGACAATGGTAGACAGACGCAGACTAAAAGTAGAACCCCACAGCTATATGTGTAGATGATAGTCTGTGATCGCCCTCTACAAATGTGCATAACTGCACAATTCCAATTCACCAAAGATCGAAAGCAGAGAGTTTGGAGCTCTTGATCTCGGACTTCCAACAGACATTGATCCAAAACTTTCGAAAATAAAGTGCAACAGGTCTTGTCTGTCTTGTTCTTCTTCATGATGATCAATCGCAATCAACAAGCTGATTATTCATTCTGTACGTCCGATTACATCTTTACATGCATGTTCAGAATCAGGAGTCGAGAGTGTTGTCTTCTGTGTAGTGAAATCTTAGGTAATGATCAATTAAAAAGGAGTAATGAAGGATCGGCAAATCGAGGCAACTTAATTTTACAACATAACTCAGACAAAATGTGGCCGTCTTTTCATGACACTGTATTCTGTAACTCACCAACTAAAACTAGTTAGTCTACTGCTCAGAAAGAGAGTTACGCCAAGCGTATTCTTTTAGAAGTATTGGACAAAATGCAGGAATAATCACAACAAACAAATTAGATCTTGTATAATTTTAGGTCTAAACTTCAGTGGGCCTAGGGATCAAAGATGTAGTCAACTTCACATGCCTTGGGCTTGGCTCAAGTTTTAAAAAAGCAATTTTTTTATTTTTAAGTTTAAAAATCAAAACCCAGTTTTTCTTTTCATATCTTTAAACTAGACATTTACACCTTTAAGTCTTATATTAATAGATCCAATAACACCAGAGACATTGTCATAGTCTATATATACAACATGCATCTTTAACAGAACACATAAATGCATAATGAAAGGTTTTCACACAAGTTTTTAAAACCACAGCTGCATAAAATTCACTACAAAAATGAACAGAAGCATGAATATGGAATCTACTTACGAGTAACTTTTAGTCCACCATAACTGCTAGTACTACCTCTGTTGGCATCAGCGAATGATGTCGTTCTTGGCCTTCCACTTCCACTCATGCTAAATATATATTATTTGTCTATTTTACAATATTCTTACAATTTTTACAGGAGAATTAAAACATGTTTTACATGGTAGGCAAGCAAGGAGGGCGTTTGCCTGTGATGAAAAGATGCGAGTCAAACCCTTTTCAGGGCGACGAGAAGGGGTCAAATATTATGGACCTGGTCTATATTTTATCTTCAATTTTGATCCGTCATGTAATTCCAATTGCATAGAAGATTCCAGCTGATTTTTCGTTTCAAAACTATACGATCATGGCCTCATTTTTGATGATTTCTGGCAAGAACTCTGCGTTTATCATACGCTGTTTGTTACCGCACACAATCTCTCGTTGCCACTATTTTCTGCCATACATACAATACACAGTTTCGATCGCAAAACACGGCAACCATCGGCTCTTCAGTAGTCAACCGTAAGCCAATGGGAAAGCGTAGATTTTGTAGTTCGGTTATTGCCGTACTAGTTCGTTACTTTCCGTAATTGCTCGGCAGTATTCACATAAACTTATTTTTTGAGAAAAAATTCAAAGACAATTTTTAGATAGTTTTCATCACTTATTTAAAGTCAGAAAGTTATTTACATTCAGATTCTTTATTTTAGTTCTTTTCTTTCATACTAACAAATCGAATCAGTTGATATGACGTAATGAGTCGCGTAGGTCACGGGATCGGAGCGCGAGAGGTCATGTCATTCGGCTCTACTGGCTGACGGATGAGCTCGCATGTGAATTGAACTTTGTTATGTTGAATTTGCCTCAGTCCCATACCTATCCTTCTGTGTGAGTACTTTAAATGTTCATTGGATTTTATTTAAAAAACACTTTCTAAATTCTATGTGGTGTAGCTGGAGCTTGACAAAACTGAACGTATTAATGGTTTAAAGAGTTAAGCAAAAATGAAATTAATGTCAACATTTCAATTAATAATAGGGTCTAGACTAGTAAAATACGACTGAAACTTGATTGAAAGTTTGAAACTGAAATTTGAAAAGTCACTGGAAATGAAATTTTGAAACTGAAACTGAATTGAAACTGAAATTGAAAATGAAATGAAACTGAAATGAAACTGAGAAGTGAATTCTGAGTCTGACTCTGATTATGAATTTGACAGAGCTGAGTCACAAGTGAGTTGAATTGACGTCTGGAGTCTTGAGTTTTTTTAGTTAGACCCTACTTAAGTTGTAGAGTCTACTTAAAGACGGATACTGCACTGAGAATGCGACGAGAGTTAATGTTTTATTTTGAGATGACTTTAAAAAAAATGTTTTTAGAGTTTTTCATCAACACATTGACATTTCAAATTTGTGTTCATCCCATCGTCCGCAGAAACGAGGATTGCCTTCGTAAATGTAGACAGACTCGTCCGTAAAAATAAGGCTGGTGCGCATTTATGCAGACGTTTCATAGACCCTATTTCTGAATCCGCGCATTGGCGATTAGAAAAATGGATTCCACAATGATTTTCTTGATGCATTTTACTTTGACCTTGTACAGGTACAGAGACTTTCAGGTTATGAGCGATAAATCCTCGGGAAGACGGACAAGGGACAACCGGCGAACTGGGGTTATTTTTCTTAAGCGGAATCCGTTTTTCGCATCGCCAACCCAAAACCTGCAGAGCGCCGATGAAAAAATATGTCAGCAAAAATGAGGACGCAATTTGTTTGTGTTTACGAGGATATCCTCACTTATGCGAACGATCTCATGCATTCTCAGACCAGCGTCCCTGCTGGTTTAAATGAGGTCCAGACAGCCGACCCAGATTTTTGTTGCTATTTTTAGATGTTCCTACTTACATTTATACTGAAATATAAGAAGGTGGCCTTTCTTGATCTTCGTACTTCTACTGAAATATATTAAGAAGGTGACCTTGCCCCAAAATGACTAAATTTAAGACTTTCGCTATCTTCTATTAAAGTTCTATAGACATGAACTAAGATGGAGATGCTGCTTTTGATATTTAGTGAATCAGAAACGGTTCACTTTTTTCAAAAGATAAAATTGAATTGTGACAGTAACATATTGGATTTTGTAGAGATCCATAATATCCATAGTGTTATTGTATGAAGGGGTGACCAAAGTTCGCGCAGATTTTAGAACAAATTAGAAAATGTGATATTCGATCCCTGTTTTCTCATATTCTACACAAATTTATTTATTTTAATTACTACCAAATGGACGGCAAAGTATTTTACTACCAATTGGTTCAACTACAACATTTATCGTCGAAGGATTTCGGAGATATCGCGATCTAAAAATTCGATGTCTGATCGTGCATGCGCGCTGCATCTAAAAAAGTCATAAAAACAACGAGACCTAAGTTCACGCACGGGGGTTTACAGCTGATTTATACAAAAATACGATCCATCAAAAATAAGGTAATTTCATAATTTGCAAGGCAAAATATCATACAACCAGACGGTACCACTTATTACTTACAATTTTGAGGATATCTGCTCTCAAAATGAAGATTTCCAGACCTTATCGGTAAGTTGGTAATTTTTCGGAACGGACGCAAATAACTGCAAAATGTGCCGATCTTTTGTCAATATTTTCACAATTTCGCACCCAATTCCAAAGAAATATCGTTTCTGGGTAATTTTATGATCCTCTTTCCATTGGTGATATCAGATTTTCGAAATCTTACCGATTTTTTGAGAAAGCGAACTTTGGTCACGCGCGAACTTTGGTCACACAGCCATACAGCTTAAAAAGTTCAAAACCACAAATTTCCCTGGAAATATAGACTAGTCCCTTTTTTTTTGTCAAGGTAACCCTGTCCTTTATGCATAAACGGCCTTGTATCAGAAAGTGAAGTACTGGTAGTAAAATAGTATTTGTGTTGCCGATAACATGGTCACTTTAGCCCTTAATCCCTGGCTTGAAATATATGCTAAGTAGAGAATAGATTTTTGTACTTTGCTTTTGATTGCAGGACTCTTGAAACACAGTCTCGGTTTCAAAATGGAAACAACAAGCCCACAGGCAGAAGACTTTGAAACAAGGGCAAAACAGATGTACAGAACCCGTGTCAGAGATAGTAAGACGATATCCTTTGTTCTTCCTTTAAAGCCCCACTGTACTACTTGCTTCCTCTATATAGAAAACAATGCCTAAGTGGTGCCCGTTGGTCCCCCATGATCCTCTTTTTCTTATGTTGATTGAGAGTTGAGTTGATGATGAAGCCACCTGTCAGTGACCACACTGGGTGGTCTAATCCCTCCTGGCCAAACTAGTACAGACGGGCATTAAGGCTCTATGTGTTTAACCTAGGGCTGAGGCAAAGACCTAACGTAAGATTCTGTGTATGGGGCACACTGATTTCATCCCTAGAACAATTGAAACATCGGTGTGTGTCTTATACACAGAAAGAAGATGTTCCGAGATATGTGCCATGTGTTTAAAATTTGGACGTTCGTTGAATGTTAGGTGCACTAAAATGCCTGTTTAATTTGTTTGTGTGCAAATAATGGATTAAAAAATGAAAATTAAACTGATATAAAATGTGACTTGATAACTGTCATATTACATCAAGTGGTAATGCTTATTCTTAGGACATCTACTTTCATAAATTTAAGTATTAAGTCTGGAAAAGACTCTTTTTTTTTTTTCTTTTTTTTTTAAAGGGGAAAAATGTGTATTCTGGTGTTGGTTGCATTATTTAGATATGATTGATTATATGCCGGTTTAGATTGTGAAATATAATATTTCAAAATTTGGTTTTAATTGAGGTGACCCAGTGTTTTTATCATTCCTCTTTTTTTCTCTCTATTGAAAATGATTTTTGTAAATCAGAATTTCTATATGAAAATTTTAAAGTGATAAAGAGGGCAAAATAACGGGACTGAATTTGTATTATTTATTTTCAAGAATGTATCTGGTAATTTTATTATATTTCTAATTCAATTTCAATTCATTAATTTTTTTAATTCTAAAACCAATTACATGTAACATTAACTCTTGGCAAAAGTGAAATAACCAGTTTCTCTTGAATCTTTCTGAAATAACATAATAAAGTGAAACCAGTATATAAAGACTGCTTAAGAGGGACAAGGAAAGTGGTCTTTTATAGACAGATGGTCTAAATGTGCAGGTTCCTTTAGTATATGTTTCAATGAAAAACAATTTTCTGGAGAAACTAAAAATGTGGTCTTTATAGACAAGTGATCACTAAAGTAGGTTTGGCTGTATGTTTTTATTGCAGGTTCGGTCGTGAGGCGATCCAGCAGGGCGCGTGTTCGACGGACAGTTCATGATCCCAAGTCAGATTCCGAACGATTGAACGAAAAAGAGAGATGCAGTCGATGGAACACGTTAGAGAAGCAGCTTCTCTTGAGGGCACTCAAAGAGTAAGACCACTATTAACCCCTTGATTACTGGATTGTCAAAGTCCCATAGGCTTATTACAGGGGCCACCCGGTTCCCGTAGGCAAGGGGTTAAATGTAGAACCAGAAGCTTTCGCAATGGAGGGGCTCAGACTCGCGGAAGTTTCATGAGCACTGCAAAATATGTAAATCACTCGTTGACAAAACACAGACTGTTGAAACACACAACAAGATTTTGTTTAAAATTTGAAAGTGTAATGTCACAAAAGTTTCTGGTTTTAAAAATGTAAAGTAGGCTTGAAGTTCCACACTCTAATTGAAGATTTTTGTAAAGGGAACCAATCATACAAGAATAATTTGAGGATATATAGAAGAAATTAAATCCTTCCTTAAAGGAAGAGGGAAGTAGAGAGAGAGAGAGAGAGAAAGAATTTCCTTATAAAACAAACTTATTCTCCTGATATTTGTCTTACTTCGTACAAAAAATCATATTTTCTTTTCCTAGGAAAACAGCCATCTCCCAGTTCAACTACCTTGCGATAAAAAGAATTGTGAAGACCAAGAAGAAAGGAGATGTGGCGATTTTCATCAAAAACCTCAGGAAAAGGGCTATGAGTAAGCAAAACATGATGCTGTAATCATTTAGAATGATAATCATAATAATCATAATATTAATAATAGTAGTAGAAAGAATAAGAAAAAGGAGAATGATAATGATGATATAGAGGTGTCGTGGTCGATTCGAGACCTTGGTTTGACATTGATCTACATTTGCCACACTTAACCCAGGTGATGTAAATGGGTACCTGGCAGGAAGTAATTCTTTGAAATGCTAGAGCGCTGAATTGCAGCCATGCTAAGGCCAGGGAAATACTCAGAATCGCCAGGAGTGTCATGAACCTGATATAGGTAATAATAATAATAATAATAATGTTAATAGTAATGATAATAATAATAAGATTATGCTTTTATGGGAACAGTCTGTACAGATACATGTACATGTATCAATAGCTTTCAATGATTGGGGCATTGTCTAGAAATCAGATTTTCAATTTATCATATTGTCTCACCGTGTGAATTTTCTCAATTTTTCAGAGGCCAGAATTGAAGATATGAGGAAGAAGTCCCCTATTGAGGTGAGTAGTAGAACATGTATAATTATCCTTTAATAAACAGATTGAGAAAGTAAAGATATAAACATTAAATTGTTATGGTAGTTTTCATAAGGGTCATCCCATTCAGGATGATTTCTTACTATTTCTTGTGTCTGAACTACATATAATTTAGAGCTATTTAAGTTATCACTAGATACATTGCAATTAGTAGTAGCCTAAGCAGTGCCTTGCAATTAATCATTTGCTAACTTGTCTTTATGTTATGAATCCCAGGGCCCTGTCTTATAAAGAGTTGCGATTGATCCAAATCAATCGCAAGTCCTCCAATTAATCGCAAGTTTGCACTCTCCTATCTCTTATGTACGTAGTTGCAATTGATAGTTAGGTTTAATATAAATTCTTAATAAGACGGGGCTCAGATCTCCATGCAAGAGTGCCTGATGATGAAATTATAAAATTCCACAACAGGGATTGTCTCAAAGCCCCACTGCACTACTTGTAGCTACCTGCGCCCTTCATATAGCCAACAATGCCTAAGTGGTGACTATTGGTCCCCCATGGTCCCCTTTTTCTTATGTTAATTGAGAGCTGAATTGATGAAATAACCACCTGCCAGTGACCACGCAGGGAGGACTAATCCCTCCTGGCTAAATTAGTGCAGATAGGCTTGAATACTATTTATTCAATGATGTTTTGCTCTCTGTCTCAAACTTGATATCATATCTCTACATTATTTTTTTTTGTCAGGTTTGGAATGATCTGATTAATCACTTTGGGGATCAGGACAAAGAATCATGGAGAGTCATGAGTAAGGTAATGGCCAATCAAGATCATCGTTGCTTAGACACACAGTTCAAAAGGCCAACCAGTAACCAATCAGAATCGTCGTTTTAATTTTTGTAATTGATTGCAAGCCTTTGTGTTATGGGGCCCAGTATATGTTTTCATTAATGATCATACGTATAGGGGTTTGAAGCAAAATGAAGGAAATGTTGCATTGCATGATTTGGAGAAAAAAAAAGTTTCCAACATTGTTTCAATATCTCATGGTAAGGGGTGCCAAAACCTATATAAAATTATAAGGTGTGGAAATGGTAAATATAAAAATAGATGCACCCACGCAGCCCATTCAAAATGCTTTGTGAGGGACCGTCTTGCTCATTTTTTTCCTTCTCTCACTATATCTCCCCCTCCCTCTCCTCAATTAAAATGCATGTTAATGTTCACATTGATACAAAATAGGTGTTATCAGAGCAATATTGATGATTGAAACAAGAATCAACGAGCTCTTAGCTGAGCTTACCAGACCCTTTAAGGGCTCTTCTTCCTTTGAAAGAATTACACAGTGTTACCCTGGCAAATTTATCCACAGTTTGATACATGTAATCTTGGAAAATGATGTCTTCAAACATTTCTTTTCAAAAATACTTTCCAATGTTAACGAGAGGAAGTATGTTGAGCATATCTCACTCTTCTTTGTTACTCTATCCACCTTTCCTTCTTACTCTTTCTTACAGCGCATAGAGACATATTGTGAAATGCGCTATATAAGTACGGTTTATTAGATGATGACGTGGATCCTAATGATTGGTTGAAAGTGTACATATGACCAGGCATTTATTTTGCCTAACGCGTAATTTTGATAATGACTGGTCATTATCCAATGGTAATGACCGGTCATTATCATGTTATAATACATCATTTTATAAAACATCATTTTATAAAACAAATAATACACATCATTTTGTTTGTGCATTAGTAAAATTACCCACACTCGGTACCTTCAAAATAGTCCAAACATCCTCGGCTATCGCCTCGGGCGTGTTAGACTATTCCGAAGATACCTCGTGTGGGTAATTCTTACTAATGTCCTCACTGCTGGGTATAATTTGTATAATATTATTATTGGAAGATTTTGGCAATAGGAAAATAATGAAAATGATTCTTTCTTCTCCAGGTGATGGTGATGGCGTCAGTAGAACGAACCATTAACGCTGAGGAGATAACCTGTGATGACTTCAAACCATTCCGTATCTACCGCTACCTGGGAGCCCTTTTCAAGTCAAAGGCACTACCCCCGCTAACCCCTTTAGGTGAGCTGGACTTGATAGTGATAAGTTGAGGTGTTCAGGGGGGTGTTTCACAAAGATCCTAAGTTGAACTTATCTCTAAGTTTGACTTAACAACTATGGAAAGTCATTAGCATCTTTGAAAATATTTGTAAAAGTTATTTTAAAAAGGCATAAAATGTCATTTATATTTTCTATTTTCAAGGAGATTTCATGTTCTTGATGTGGAATTTATGAAAAGTCTAAAATACTTGAATTTTTGCTTTTGAATATATTTTATTTTAAGGCTAGAAATGGCTCTCCATAATGTCTAAGTCCAACTTAGAGTTAATTTTGACTTATGATCTTTGTGAAACACCCCCCTGGTCTGGTGGAGCAAATGACCGGACTCTGGATCTCCAAGGTGGGGGTTTGAGTTCTGCTATGGTAGGTATGTCCTCTAGCAAGACATTAACCTACATTTGCTACACTTGACCAAGGTGAAGTAAACAGGTACCTGACAAGAAATCAAGTCCTTGAAATGCTCGAGCGCCATAATGGCAGCTGGGATAGTATTTGTGGAGCGCCAGTATTGGCAAAAGTGACAGACATGAGCCCTATTCAAGAACCCACTACTAGGCCTAAAATAAAAACTTGTTGAATTGCCCTTTGCCGACTCAAAAATCTGAAAATTTACGGTCGGCATTTAAAAAAAAAAAAATTTTAACCGTTTTTTATATCTTTTTAGTAATGAATAAAAAATATATAGATTTTGTTTGTTTAAATGGGATATAAATGCATAAAATCAAAATTTTCACTCATGCAAACCATGGATAATTATGAGGTGAAAAAGATATCAATGGAATTATGATGCTGAAGCAGATGTATTAAAGCATTAAAAACTGAGAAATATGAGCTAAAAGAGGGCGGGAAAAAGAAAAAAAAACATTCAAATCTGAAAATATCGGCCCCAAGAGGGCAACAAAAAAAAAGTTAAAAAAAAAAAACTTTTCCGACCGACCGACCCATGTTTTGGCACCCAAAGGGCAATACAACAAGTGTTTATTTTAGGCCTTATTGTTATTGCCAACCCTCGTTCATGAGGTTAGTGGTTGATTAGCAAAAAAAAAATTTGATAATTTGTCTTAAAATGTTCATGGTTTGTATTTTTCTTTTTCTGTAATATCAGCCAAATTGATAAATGAACTACTTTCATGAGCATGTCTTGTGTATATAATTAGGATGAGGTTCATTTATTTGGATATATTATCATAAAAGACTAAATTTTGCTGTTATGAAGGATCCCTCCCCCCCCCCCCCTTAATAATGAGGAAGAAGTGAGCCTGCACAAACTTCCCTTGTCTTCAATTTCCATATGATTGATAATTGAATTTTATTTATATTTATTACTTTTATTTTCTCCTGTAGAATCCCAAGTCATTCTGGATTGCTTTGAAAACATGTTGGAGGTTCTCAAAGGAAGTGAGATCAGGGATAAAGCGGCCTTCCTACGCCCCCAGTACTCCAACCTCTACAACAAGGCCTTTACTGGAGGCACGGAGTACAGCTTGGAGGATAGCCTGAGTGTGGTCATCCGGGAGGCTGAGGGTGAGACAGCAGCTGGTCCGTCACATTCTTCAAATCAGATTGGCCCTGAGACAACAAACTCAGGACCAAGTGGAACAGAACCAGGCACCAGTGAATCGGATCCAGGAACAAGTGGAACAGGCATCCTCAAGTCATTGCCTGGAACCAGTAGCACAGTACCCAAGTCCAGTGGTGATGGACCAAATGTCATTGATCAAAGGAAGATATGGCGAGGAGGAAAGGACAGATCAACGGAAGTAAGGATCTTGAACCCACTTGGTATTCCGGTGGAGATGCTAGAGTTCAAACCGCGGGATGATGAGAGCTACAAAAATAAACGGTGGACTTATGTGCTTGAGACAGATTCTTCAGACAGTGATGGTAGTGATAGGGATGATGATGACGGGCAGGATGGTGGTGGTGGTGCGGACAAGAGAAAGAGTCCAGTAAAGAGGAAAAGAGGTAGGCCACGTAAGGAGGACAGGGCTGGCACAGGTGAGGGTGATCCTCAGACCTCTGCAGGAGATGGTGCAGGAGATGGTGCAGGAGAGCCCAATGGACTCCAGGAGATGACTGATCTACTCAACACAGATCAGTATGCTTTTGTGACTGAAGAAGAGTTTGCCGCAAAGGGTAAGATCTATCTCCAAGCTATGACAGAGGCTCATGCCGAGTTTGATGGACACCTGGACCCTAACCAACTAGTTGATTCTGATCAATATGTCTTTGTGGCAAGAGACGATTTTGCCATCGAGGAGGAAAGTTTCATCCAAGATGCGGAAGAAACCGAAAGAGCAGAGGTTGATGAATCCCAGGAAACAAGTAAACTAGATGATACTGTTCAATCTACAGCCACCAATGACTATGTTAGTTTAGAGTTAGAATCTGCAAGGACAGCACCGCCCAGTGCTCTGTTGGAAAGTGAAGAGTATGAAATGGATGATCAGGATGAAAGCAATGACAGCAGTGAGAAAGAAGGTTCAGCATTTGAGATTGACCAATCAGAGGTCCTCAGTGATGGCATTGGCCAATCAGATTCAATGGATGACGACATAGACCATTCAGATACAGACGTTGCAATATCAGCTGTGTCATTGGAAAGACACCAAGCAACAGAAGTGATCCCAGTTCAGAACGATGTCCTGGAGGACCACCTACAGTCAGACTTGAATTTGGATCAAGGGTTACCTGAAGGGGAAACACCGCCATCATTACCAGCCATGAAAAACCAATCATCAGTGGCCATTGATGCGATCAGCCAATCAGAGTTACGATCAAGTCGCCAGGACTCCATGGAAGTATTGACTGCTGTATCTCTAGCAAGTAACCAAACTCTGGTGTCTAATCCAATCCAAGAAAATGCTACTCAAGTAATGTCCAATCATCCCTTAGTATCTGCTGCGTCTTCATCGAGGAGGATGGATGATGCAGATGTTCCCAGGAGAAGTACACCCATTGTTCTTTCAGCTGGATCACAGGCGCCAGGGACTCCGGTCCCGTTCCATCTTCATCAAAAGGAAAACCCATCAAATGAGAGCTTTTCAAAAGAACCACCAAGTGACTCAAGTCTGAACACTATTCCTCTTGAAGATGCCATCAATAGAGGGGTGGTAAGCAGTGACCAATCGGATGACCAACTCTTGACCATTGATGTCTCGCAGCTGGGACCGGACTCCAACATTGTGATTCCGTCTTACTTGCTACCTGGAGGGATCCTCACCATCCGATCACCAGACGTACCCTTCATGAGAATCCAAAGATCAGATCCCTCATCCTTGGTTCAGATAGGAACCGATGCTGCTAGTCCGGGCAATGCCTTGGATGTAAGTGGCCAATCACAAGTTGGTGTGGCTCCTACAAGTCAATCACTGGATGATGTTTCAGAGGACTGTGGTCCGGTAAGTGATGTTGAGTCTGCTGGTGAGGATGAAATCTCTCAGACAGAGTATGTCATAGCTTCAGACCTACCTGTCAAAGAGAGCCAGAATCTGTGTGAAGTACATGTCATTGCCAATCACATCCTCAAACCTAGCAACCAAGAAGAAGTGTCACAAAAGACTTCCCCAAAGGCCCTACATATTACCAAGAGATCAGAAACTCCTCCAAAGGAACAGGACATTTCTAATAAATCAGGAGTCTCCAATCAACCAGAGGGAATGCAATCTGAAGGTGTTGAACCAGAAATGGAAGAAATGTCTTTCCTTGACTTTCTCAGCTCTCAGAAACCTGCATGGAGTTGGAGAGAAAAGTCAACAACACCAATAGGTCTTCCACTGAAGGATAATGGCTTGGGAGATCCTGAGGTAGAAGGGCTAAATGTGCAAATTCAAGCAGTGTATAATGTAAATATACCTCAGGGGATTTCTCAACATGCTATCCCAGGAGAACTAGTTGAAAGTCAAGCTGATATTGTCCAGGAGAATGTCAGCGTTGATTTAACCCCTAAGGAGAAATGTAAGAGAGGACGTCCTCCAAAGAACAAGCTACCTACAAACGGAAGATCATCCATGGCTTCTCACATGCATCAAGATGGCAGTGCCAGTGCAAGTCCACAAGGCAGGAGAAAGAGAGGTCGGCCACGGAAGACTGATGCAACAGTTCCAGTGGGTGTTATAGACGTTGAGCTTGAGAGGGAGGAGACACAAAGACACACTGCAAAGGATCTTGATGGGCAAGGAGCTTTTGTAACTGATGATGGCAGTGATCATGTTACGGAAAGGGTTGTAGGAGAAAAGAAAAAACGTGGTCTACCCCCAAAGTGTGCTGGCAGTAAGGCCGGAATTCATCTGCAGGAGGATAGGCAGGAGAGTCAATTGGGTGAGGACATTTGTTCAGTCGACTATCCGGTTTCCATGTCTAGTGTGGGAAGTGTTGGTCAAGCTCGGGAAGACATTTTGAGGAAGGATAAAGAAAGATTTACAAGTATCCTAGAACTCATGAATAAGCCAGGAGACATGTTACACATGGAAGTGCACAATGAACAACGAAAGAGAGGGAGTTCATTGAAAACACAAAGCGCTGGCACCTCTCAGCAGTTGCACAACCCCAAACTTTCTCCAAAGGCTCTGTTTGCAAGTCTTCCGAATAAAGAGAAAATCAACAAAGGGATACCCCCAACTTTTCCAACTGATGTCCTTCAGAGGAAAGTGCCCAATAGCCATTCTGGAGGTTTTGAAGGGATTGCTAATCAACTTGGAGTAGATACTTCAGCCGAAAGTCCACAGAAAAGGAAAAGAGGAAGGCCTAGCAAAGGATCCAATGTTAACCTTGGCCAGTCATTAGATAGGATAGCAGGATTTGGAAAGTCGGGAACAGATTCTGAGGTAGACTCTAGCACAGAGAAAAGAAAGAGAGGAAGACCTCGAAAAGTATCAATATCAGATTCATCAGTTGACAATTTACAAGCCAATGTTGAACTTAGCCAGTCATCAGAGAGGGAGGAAGATGTTAATCTATCGGGAATAGACTCTGGCACAGAAAGCAAAGAGAAAAGAAAGAGAGGAAGACCTCGAAAAGAAAATCAACCAGGTTTCCTTGATGACTTACAAGACAGTCCAATCACCCACCTGATAGAGAACAAAGAGAAGAGAAAGAGAGGGAGACCGCGCAAAGAAACACAACCGTCTTCCTTTAATGATTTGCAAGACGGTCCAGTTATTTGCCAGTTAGCGGTGTCTCAGATTGGTAACATACAATTTGAAACTGACGTCATGACAGAGGGAATGGAGAAAAGGAAAAGAGGAAGGCTCTGTAAGGAATCCAGACCGGAGCCATGTGATGATTTTCCAAATAGAGCTATGGCTAGTCAGTCAACAGGCAATGAGGCACGTACTGAACAGTTTGAATCTGATGTTGAGCTTGAGAAAAAAAGGACAGGAAAGGCTGGAAGTCCTTTCAAAGCATTCAGCCCATACCAGCCTAACATATCCAATTCAGGATCAGGAAATGGAGATAAGCAAAAGCAAGGAAGACCGAGCAAAGGTATAGTGCCAGGATCCTGCAATGATTTGCCACCTAGAGTTGTGGTTAGTTCATCAACAGTTGAAAGATCAGGAATTGACACTGCGGAAATTAGGTTGGAAAGGTTGACAGAACTGAGCTGGGGCACTTTGAAAGATAAATCAAGAGCATGCATCTTAGAAATGAAACATGAAGAAAAACAGAAGAGAGGAAGGCCTCCCAAAGAATTCAGAACAGAGTCCCTGGTCGGTTTGGAGGATGCAGTAGTGAAACACCAGCCAGCAGAGAATGAGATTATCATTGGTCAGTTGGAAACTGTCTCTCGGGCGGAAATGGAAGTGAAAAGAAAGAGAGGAAGGCCTCGTAAAGAATCAAGACCAGATTCATGTGATGATTTGCCAAATGCCATAATTCCTTGTCAAGCAACAGAAAATATTGAAGGTGTTAAACCCCTAGAAACCGAGCCAAGGACTGCAACAGAAGAGGCAGAAAGGAGAGGAAGTCCACCTTCAGGATTCATTCCGTATCAGCCGAATCAATTAGGAAGAACTTGCAAAGAATTTCAAGTAGACCCTCGCAGTGGTCCGCAAAGCAAGGGAGTGCAAGGCCGTTCTAGAGAGCATGAGACAATTGATATCCATGTTGCACATCAACAGAAACAGAAGATAATTAGCCCTCAGAAAGAACGAACCCCTGGCTGTAGTCACGTAGTACACTCCAAACAAGCAAAAACTCATTCAGTAGGGAAAGACACCAGTGTTAGCCACACACAAAGTCCAGCAGAAGGAGAGGAGAAACGAAAAAGAGGTAGACCAAGAAAAGCAGGTAAACCAGATACTAATGCAGGATCAGAAAAGCCAGAGAAGCGAAAGAGAGGAAGACCTTCCAAAACAGTAGACACAGGGTCCCCTGGAATTCATATGGAGAGCAGTGTCCGCAAGAGCCAGTCACCAGAAAAAGATGCAAGTATGAAGCATACACAAACTGAATCAAGAATAGATGATGTCGAGGAACCAGCAACAGGCAGGACATTCAATGAAGCAGGCATAGGCTCTACTAATGAATGGCATCATGGATGGGATGTACCGCAGTCAGTCAACAGTGATGGGAGTATCAACAAGTCTGTAAGTGACACTGGACAGGAGATAGAAGAAAATGCCACCAGACCACATGAAAGTCATGAGTTTGGAAGTGCCCCTGAAGAGACTTCTGTGACTAGTCCTATTCCAACGAGTGAGTTGATCACAGATAAAGCAGTGTCTGAAGTGAGGAAGCAAGTGTCACTTGATAGATATCTCTCATCAAAGGAATCCGGAACACACCACCAAGCACAGGGTAAGAGCATCCTGAAGAAACCGAAGAAGCGGAGCCCGCTGAAGGTGAACGTTGGAAAGGCACTTGCCAACAAACGCCAAAAGAGTTTAGATCGCAAGAGACTGTCACAGATGAGTACTGTCCTTGATGAAGTTTCACCATTTGATAAACCCCTCGCCAGCATGTTTCCTGAGAGCGACTTGCTGTTTGGGAAGCCAAAGAAGCGGGTGAGCTTTGAAGATGCCCTAGACCTTGTGGATACCTTTGGTGAACGTGAGGTGTTGGAGAAAAACTTGCTTATGACGGATATCGTCAGCCAGACGGCCATGAAGGAAGTCATGAAGATCGTGAAGGAGGTCGGGGTACAGAGAGAATCGATCGTTGAACCGCAACCACAGAAAAAGACCTCCATTTTCTTCTCGATCAAGAAATCTTGAGGATGTATCCTTCGTATGTGAGGGATAAAGACTGTTCAGCTATCTCAAGATTTGTTGATTAAACCCATTTTAAATCCATGTAGTCTACAAGCTATTGAAGGTATTACAAAGTTTTGGTATGGGGTCATGAATTTGGTTCAAATGAACATATTGGAAGCATATGCGATCCTACAATATTCAATGGTCATTGTCTCTGTTGAAATCAAGCCTAAAGTGATGAAATTGTAAATAATAAACTCTTTATGATGTATGGCTCCCTCTCAAGATTTGTTTTACTTTCGTACTAGTTGACCTTACTTCTCTATCAAGTTTACTTTTGAAGTGGTGGTAGTGGGATTAGAAGATTTTTTTTTTTTTTTTTAACTTATAAAAATCAACTAATACAAACACACGTAAATCTATGATGAAAAATTGAGACTTTTTAAGATTCTCATCTCATTTAGAATTTTTCGACATATACAAGATCAACTTGTGCAAAGTTGACTGTGCTTTTCTATCAAAACCAGCCAAATAAAATCATTGATAACTGCATGAAATTTCCCTTTTTCTTTGAGCAGCTATAAACTCTTTTTATGTGCCAAATGATTTCATTATATAACATATAGCAATCTTGATGAAGAGTCTGATATTTTTGTAATGTATACAGTAGAAACTCGTTATAACGAGGTCCTTGGGACCATGGAAATTACCTTGTTACCTTGTTATCTTTGAATCTTGTTGTATCAGGGTAAAAAAAAAAAGGAATATAAAGAGAAGGGACCAGCGAAATCAGAGCTCCTTTGACCTTATAACGAGGTTCCTCTGTAGTTTAAAATGATTTAACCTGTTGGCAATGGGTTCAGGGCATCGTTTCACGAATGAGTTTGCCCACATCCCATTGCACGTGTCTAGTACAGTTAACATGTATGTCAATGGTGTGTCAGCGAACTTGTTCTTATGACAGTTTTGTGAGATGATGCCCTGATTTCTAATGTTTACAACACACATCTTTCATGGCAGCTGTTTAAATAAGGTATAAACTTAGTGAAAATTTCATTTCAATTTCATTTTCACCAAGTTTTAGACCTTATTTACTGTTTTTATATGTTACTCATGAGCCTGTAAATATGTGTATAAGTATATACATTGTATTTTACAGTTATATCATTTATTGATACTGTTTTCTGTGCAAATGGACTTGCAAAGATTGGCTGATAGTGATTTCTATATTCTAGTCATACAAGCTTATGTCGACGATGTAAAATATGTCTAGTTCTCATCAAGCATCCTGGTGCTTAAAGTAGTGCAGTGTGTTTCCTGAGCCTGAGATGAAAGTTATATATGATAAAACTAGGACGAAAATCATGTGATTTTTGTCTCTTTTTTTTGGGGGGGGGGGGGGGGGGGGGGGGCAGGTTGATGTTATCAATAAAATGTCTGACATCAAATTAATTGTTTTTCTGAAAATCACTGCATTGAAAGTATATAATTAGCATCCATATCATTATTCAATATTCAAAGAAATATAAGTTACAAAACTTATTCTACTTTCAGGAAGACCCTATCATTTTAATATCACCCCAAATCATGAACCTTACAAAAAAAGATATCAGTCCAGAAAGAATGACATCCTGGTTCATGTGTTGAAAGTTTTAAACCTGCAAACCATTTGTATGAATTTGTATGAATTAATTGTTCAAACATTCTTCCAAATAGTGTACTTATTTTTAAAAGTTTACTTCTGGAAATATTTGAATTTATATTATACATGTACTATTGAATACATGTAAGTATGCTTCTGATAATGAAAATAATAGTGGGTTCTTGTATAGCGCTTGTGTTTGTCAGATTTGACACTGGCTATCAACAATTATTACCCCAGTTTTAGCATGGCTGCCATTATGGCGCTCTAGCATCTCCAGGAATGAATTCCTACCATGTACCCATTTACCTCATCTTGGTTGAGTGTGGCAAATGTAGATTAATGTCTTGCCAAAGGACATTCAGCGCTGTGGCGAGACTCAAACCGTGTTATCCACAGTTCAGTGAAATATCCAGTAGACCACTCCTCCACCTCTTCTGCATTTCAATTTTTTCCCTCTTTATTTTTTTCTGAAACATTTCCTTTAAGCCAATATCTTGCAGTAGCTATACTATGTTGTACATACATGAACATGCATAGCCATACAAGCTCTACTCTGCTTTTGTGTTATATCATGTAATTATGAGTTTTATATAAACTTGAATATTATTTCATCTTTTGTGCTTTCTGTGTTTTTTCTCTTTTAAGAGGCTTCTCTTCACCTTTAGACCTGAATGAATCCAAACTAATTGATGTAATTTATTATTACGGTATTTAAAACAAACAGAATGAATTGCAAGACCAAATACAGAGGAGATACAGAAAAATTCAATTTGTATCAGGATTTGGTCCAAGTGTTCAAAAATATATTCAAACGTGTACAAATGTATTACAATTGCAGGTAATGTTAAGGTTTTTTTCAGCAAGATAAATCAAAGCCTCAATTGGCTGCAATTTCTTGGCCTGTCATACCATCAGAGATGCATATATGTCACATCGTGCAGCCAATCAGGCCTGCACACACACACACACACGCACACACGCGCACACAAACACACACACACACACACACACAAGTTGTAATATGGATACTACATGTATAAGTACATGTACTATTCATATGACAATACAGTACCTTGATCGTAATGAATTAATGAATACAAAGAGAGAGAGAGAGAAGGGGGAGGGAGAGAGGAACGATGAAGTATGGTAAACAAAATATACAGAGAGAAATGGAAAGGTGGCACATAGGGAGAGAGAAGGAAAAGTGGAGAGTATTAACAGATATCTGTTCAAGGAGGATTGTGGGAGAAAGAGAAAGAAAATGGCATGTATTAAAGAGGTTTACTGTCTAACAGATATGGTGTTACATGTATGTCATTTTAAAATTATGAGTGCTGTCAGTCACATGCCCATCTCTCTCTCTCTCTCTCTCTCTCTTTCTTTCTGTCAAATCATTTTCTCTCTCTCCTCCTGTCTCTCTTTTCCTCTCTCTCTCCCTTTCTTTCTAGTGTAAATTCTAGGGCAGGTGAAGTACATGTATTCATTTTTTATCAGGGTTTGAACCATGTGGTACTCAATCCATTTCTCGCCTCTTCCACCCAATCACCATTCTTCTGAAGTCCAATCCAATCATGACTTCCAAAATCAAATTTTTCATGTTTCTTTTATTCTGCCATTGAAATATTTGTAAATTTCATTGTTTTTTTTCTTCTTTCACAGCCATACGAAAATCGCAGCAACATTTCAAACATAAATACATATACAAATATGGTATAAAACAAGTATTTGGAAATGCAAACAAACGTACAAGAAAGTGGAAACACTATACAGTATAAAAACAGAGGAAAGTGCAAAATAAATTACAAATACTGACTAAAATTCAAATCATGGTCCATCATTTTTCTCTATGTATTTACATAAACAAACCACTCAAATCTTCTGGGCAGTAAAAAGCCGAGGTATATCGTATCTTTCTTATCACTATAAAACAACTACATCTATAAAACTACAAGGCAAAGTAACTTTTTGGGGTAGAAAAAGTAATTATAAAGCGTATTAACAAAAGCTTACGACTGTCATTTTGTGTTTTCTTTTGGTGTTATTTAAGAAAGGAAAAGTCCAATAAAGCAAATATTAATTTTCAAGGTAAGACAATCCAGTATAAGTTACAGAAAAAAGTGTTATTTTTCCAGTAAACAGTCAGAATTTACATTGCTTATCAAAACGGTTTGAGCTAAATTACGGAGCAGAAAATTGGAGAAACTCCAAAATCTTGACATTTCCACCCACCCACCACACCAATAGTAAGATTCAAATAAGTTAAATATCCAATATTTTCATGGACACCAGGAATACAGACATTTTCTGAAGTTGTTTAACTTCCCGATAATAATTCACACAGGCCTGACAGTATCGTAAATGCACTGCCAGCTCATTTCTTATGAACGTAAAACAGCTTACACATTACAGATATTTGAATTGATTCCATTAAACCAATTGAAATACATTATTTTATACTTTGTTTGGGAATCATAAAATCTATTTCAAACTCTCATGTGATGATAAAGTGACTTGTTAAATAAATAAATTTAAAAACAATATCTCTAAAAAGATTTATATTTATTTTTTTACTTCAATACCCACTGTAAAAATCAATAACAGATTAATGAAAGTACTTGCTAAACTGCATGAAATTACAGGGATATATGCATGTATGTATTTCAGAATTCATTAGTAAGAATAAGACAATTAATTGAAAAAATAAAATATTAACAAAATGGTCTTTGGATCAACATCATTTCAATTCCTAAACACCTTTTCATTGATTTTTTGCTCTTTAACAGGATAAACCGGCACCCAAAATGGAAGTCCGATTCCAAATTTTAATTTTATATCCTCACCCCTGACTAAAAAAAGATGGGTGTGGAGCCCTGTTATCTCCACAACAACAGCTAACTAATTTGTGGATATACTGTCATACCTGTCTATAGCGACCGCCCAAGGGAGCCCAAAAAATGTGGTCTTTGTAGACAGGTTCCTTTAGTACATGTGTCAATGAGAAACCATTTTCAAGGGAGACAAAAAATGTGGTCTTTGTAGACAGGTGGTCACTAAAGCAGGTTGAATGTAGACCGAAAGCTTCAGTCTCTGATATCGACGGTTGTTCGGCCGAGATTACATCTGGCTCCTCTGACCGCCTCTATACATAGGGAATGTTGACAAATGTCAGTTTTATTAAACAATGACCCATACCAAACGGTTATTTCTGTCTAGTTTGACTGTAGCTTCAGCGGAAGTGATACATTAAGGATGGAAATTCTAAAGCTCTAAACATGCTAAAGCAAGAAAAGGGTCAATGTAACATTTGAAATCTTAAAGCTTTTTCACTTAAAATTTACAAACATACAAGTACTATTAACTTTATCCTGATGATTCAGAAAAATGAATAAGACGAGTCTCTAATGTGCCTCTGCGTATACATATATTGAGCAGGGTTAACCCTACTACCAATCGGGTCCAGGTTATGTAGCCGAAAGCCTGTCCTAGGTTCCTGTATTAAAGTCTTTACTAGAGATATCGCAAGGTGAATCCATTAATACTCATCGATCAATGATCATGTGACCTTTAACATCTGACCTCATGATACCAAATGCTCTTCATTTAGTCTTTTTAAAGGTTTTACATACTTGAGCCCAGTTTGGGCGACATTGGTTCAATCATTGTTAAATTATCACAGTAATAAGATAGTTCTGGGATTATTTACACTTCTATGACCCTGTGATCTTTCACCTTTGACCTCATACCCTCAAAATCTAATCGGTTTCTCCTTCATGCTCATACATACTCTGTCCAAGTTTGGCTTGAATTGCTTCAATGCTTTTGAAGTTATCACAGTAAAGAGAAGTTTTCTAGTATTTTTGGTATATGCTTACACGGTTATGAATTTCTGACTTATGACCTTTGCCCTTTGACATCCTTAATCTAATCAGGTCATCTTTGGATGCTCATACATACTTCATCCAAGTTTAGTTTAAATTGCTTTAATAATTTTTAAGATATCATGGTAACAATATATATCCTGGTAATTGTTTACACTATCATGACCTGTCAACTTTGACCCGGCACTGAAACTCAAAATCTAATCAGTTTATCCTTGCATGCTCGTACATGATTTATCTAAATTTAGTTTGAAATTTCTTCAATGCTTTCATTCACATAATGCCCTTATCACATTTAATATCATATCTTCCTCACACCGCTTGCGATATTCAGTTCACCTTCGTGATCGACTGCAAAGCCCTTTGAAGATTACAAGAAGTTGAAGAGAGACATGAATTTTGATCGTTTAAACAGGATGCGACTTACAATAAGTTCAGTTGGTCCAAATAATTCACAATTTCTCTGAGCAATAACAATATTGTAAGGTGACAATGAGTCTTCTCTTCTGTACAGATAATTGATAAAAATGACAAACGTTCAATTTGGATTTTTTTTTTTTTCTCTAAACGGGAGTTGTCAGTGACTACATCAAAAATCCACTGATCAAATTGCCAATTTGAGATTAGCATAATTATAGTGATCTCATATATCCAAACTTTTGTTTATTGGGTCTGATTTATTTCAAACTTTCGGCATTTTGTTTATCTTATTTTTCTGCTTTGATGCAAACGTTGGATTGCAATCTCACTCTCCATATAGAGGTGAAACCTGGCGCTAAACTACAATGACATGGTATCAGGGGCTGCATAGTGCATGTACATAAATAGTTCATGATAAAATATACACAAACACAAATGGAAAAGCGCAATTTGATTTGTTGTGACGGATGAAATCCCTGGTAATGTATCAAAAGAAATATAGATTTCAGATCTACCAACACAGGATTTTAATTTCGATTTGAATGGCCGATACACATTATAATAAACCTAAAAAGCATACTGCAGTGTATTTGTGTACATCAGGGGAAACATAGGAAGGAGAAGAAATGGGTTAAACTTTGCTCCAACAGTTTTTTGAACGTCAAGTAATGCCTAGCTGAAATGCTCCCCAGGGAGTGGAGATTGTAAGTATTGAATCCAATGACCGGGGTAATAGTATATCTGTAAAACGATTAGAGACATCGTAGATGTATTAAGAGCTATATAAAAGCGGAAAATTATTATTAATATTATTTTATACAGTGACTTGTGTAGATTTTGAAAGAGAGGAAACTTTGTGTACTTTGAATGGACAGAATTTGAACCGACTGATATGTAGGGCAAACCCGAATGAGCCAAAGACAGCAGAAAACCTGTAATACCGGCATTGGTAGAGGGGTTAATCTACATGTCCCCACGATGGTACTGGACAGTCGCCCTCACTGACTGACCTTACTGACTGACCGCTCTCGTCTCTCTCAACTCTCTTGAAACGCTCAATATTGATCATAGGAAACCAAACAGTTCTTTATCGATACCTGCCAGACAAATCTTTGTGGCGTTTGAAAGCAACCAACACAAGGGCTTGTCCATTGTGGACATTCCAAGATCAGATGCAGACAGCATCAAAGATGGCCAAATTCAAAATTTAAAATATGTCCAGGAAGCGACGTCAGTACTCCCTTGGCACCAGTTTAAAGCCAGTACTTGGGTCTACTTCAGCCCTTTGACGGCGTTCCACTCGGTACTGCCGATAACGATGCTAGTTGATTAGCAGTTTGCAACAGAGTTGGCGTAGCTGTCGTTGGTGTTGCTGTGTTGCCTGTCCCTGCTTTTTGCGAGACGGCAGCAGCTAAGATAGCCCTGTGGGTGGCTGAATTGATTAGAGACATCTGTGGCTGGCCAGATGTGGACGGAGTAACGGCGGTCAGCGCGATGGGAGTGACTGTCGACACAGGTGTGGCTGTGACTTGACCGTTGGTTGCAGAGACCAAGTTGACCGCAATAGTTCTCCCCGATGACTGTATAGCCACGGTCTTAGCCTGCATGGGGATGGGGTTCTGTCCGTTGGTGGCGGCGGCGGCACTGATGCTGCTGATGATTTTGGAGGAGATGGGCGTGGACGGCGTGACAGGGGTACCAGGGTTGGTCTGCTGGATCTGGGTGACTCCTGGTGACAGGTTCATCGATGATATGGAGTGCGAGGTGTGGTGCGCCATCAAGTTCTGCAGATTCAGGCTCGACACCGGCGGGTTGATACGCTTCTCCTTCTGTCGACGGTTACAAAACCATACCCTCACCACCTCCTTCTCCATACCCATCTGCTCCCCGAGGAGGACAATCTCTTCCGACGTTGGCTTCGGCTGCATGAGGAAGCTCTTTTCCAACGATATCCTAATGTTGGTCTCGATGCTTGTGCGCTTTTTCCTGCGGCGGTTGATGCCTTCGGGGCTATTGTGAGGACCTAGGAGTGCAGGGTTGGATACGGTTGTATCGGCATCATCTAACCATTTCTGTAGGAGAGGTTTGAGCTTGCACATGTTCTTGAAGCTCAGGTTGAGAGCTTCAAAGCGAGAGATGGTTGTTTGGCTGAAATCGTTGCCATACAGCTTGCCCATGGCCAGACCAACATCACCCTGCATGGTGTATTGAAAAGAGAGAACAGAAAGTCATGAGCGAAGAGCTACTGTTTAAACAGTTATTTTCGTTGGGGAAATTAACACGCAGAAATATTTCCAGCATGTTATGTCGCATGTCAAAATTACTAATGCAAGCCCTATTGCATGTCGCACACACATCGTCTACCGCGGTAGCACACGCCGTCTTCAGGTCATGCAGTACAGTTTATCGTAATGGGGCACTACAATAGACTATTTTCATTTCTTCATTTAATATTTTCTGTGATACCCAGTAATGAGTTCATGATCCACAATAATAGAATGATAATTATTGAATAGTGTATTTGTAGTGGTTGTGGCTTTATGCAAATTTGTCCTCACGAATTTGTCCTTAAATCCTTGATCCATGAAAAATATCTTTACGTAAAAATAATGGTCACCGATTAGGCATGGTTTGCTATATAGAAAGCGCAAGTAGCTAGAAGTAGTGCAGTGGGGCTTTAATACATGTTTTAGTGAAAAATTCTGTTCAAGGGAATTTAAAAACAGGTGGTCTTTAAAGGCAAGTTGTCTTTCTGTCCAGATGGTCACTAAAGCAGGTTGGACTACATGGTTGTCATGATCGTCAGTGCAAGACTTGCCTGTGTGAAGCCCAGTTTGATTCGCCTCTGCTTGAAGGTCCTAGCGAACTGTTCCAGCTCCTCCAGATCCGTCTGCTCTTCAACATGGCTGTGAGGAATACTGGGGATGGGTTGGGCAGCGACGGAGGTCACTCCGCCCCCTTGCTTCTGGGCTTGTTGGAGCTGGAGCTGCTGTTGGGCAGTAACACTCTGGGCCTGTGAGGGAATATCAGACGAGATAGTCATTTACATGTATATAGGACGTGTGAGCAATGGGTGGGGTGGTTACGAAGGTTACTCCACCCCCTTGCTTCTGGGGTTGCTGGAGCTGGAGATGGTTACAGACGGTAACATTCTGAGCTCAAGGCGCACTTGTGACGAAGAAGAACAAAAAAATAATATCACATAAAAGCATCTGCATTATAAACAAAGGAACAGAAGTAAGATGGAACATGCATTAAACAGATACTTTTCAAGATTCTTCTTAAACACTTTAACTGATCTGCTATTACGAATCTCTCGAGGGAGAGCATTCCACAGCGAAGGCCCTGCACTTAGTAGTGACCTTGAGGAGAACAAGAAATTTGGCTATAGATCATGTACCATTCATGAGCATGTATTAATATGTCAGTGGGTTTTATCATTTGGTACTACCGGGCCCCGTCTTACAAAGAGTTGATATTAATCGTAACTTATTTGCAATCGATATCAATCGCAGATATGTACATAAGGGATAGGGGACTGCAAACTTGTGATTGATTTGAGGACTTACGATTGATTTGGATCAATCGCAACTCTTTATAAGACGGGGCCCAGAACTGCGTGGTAGTGACTTACATTTGTTGTTGCAGCGGCTGCGGCAGCGGACACAGACTGGATTCCTGCTGCAGTCAGTGCTTGTTGCTGCAACTGTTGTTGTGCATTGATGGCTTGAGCTTGGATAAGGGATTGCTGTTAGGTTCAAGTGAAAAGGGGAAAAAAGTAAATCAATAAACCGGTTCACTAACATTATCAAATTTATTGATATTTCTTTCTGGGGACCTAGTGACGAGTTATTCCATTAACATGTTGTTAATGAATTTACTACAATACTTGGAATCCAGTCTGCATACATCAATTGTTGATATGTCAGGAAAACCTTGGTCAAGCTTTCAGGTTGTCAAGAACAACCTTTGTTTAAAAAGTATGCATAAAATGTTGAAATGGTAGCGTCACTTTGCGGAAGTGCTGGACAACTTTCTCATTCGTTCCAGCACACAAAATGTCTAAAATGTCAACTTTTCAATATGTATGACTTAGGAGGGTCTTATCTTTTCAGAGAACCCTTAATACTATATGTATATGATAATAATGCTAGCTGCAATATAGTTCTAGACCTGCCAAAAGGGAGTAGGCGCTTAGGAGAAAAACAGAAATTTAAAATATTTTTGTACACAACAAACAGGAACGTTGTCCATGAATACGTCACAATCTAGAGAATGAGTTGATTAATTTGTGATTCACATAGCTTTAGTGATCTCACATTTCAAACACATGTAACTATCCTGTTCTTGGTCCGATATATTTCAAAATTTCGCCATTCTTTTCTCTTGTTTTTCTGGCTTACAAGGGTTTGGTTGCCCTATAATTTTTTTTGATGAAATTTTACACACTAACTGCATAGAGTCACAGAACGATTAGTGTTAGCAGCACAATATCATGAGGCTAGCAGCCATGCTGGGCATGCAGCAAACATGTCTGTGGCATTAAAAAAATACAAATCTGGGCCCCGTTTCACAAAAACCTTGTATCAATAACAAATGCTAAATATCTATGACAGATTTGCTCTCAGCCAATCAAATGCCATGATTTCAGTAGCTTATCACAGTTATTGTAACTTATCGTTGATAATAATTTTTTATGAAACAAGGCCCTGATATGATGAAATAATAGCCTACCTCTCTGACCCCTCCCCTATCCCTCCTCCTCTTTCTTTGTTTGATCCTACTCTAATACTTCAATAAACAAGTTAATTGCAAAATACTTGAAGCTGACTTTCAATGCAATATATATTGTAGCATGAAAGTAAATAAGCCTGAACACATCACTCACACCGTTCCTGAGTGTCCTTTTTTGTTCACAACATGATTTTTATCTGAAGCAATTACAAGTGGAATGTTAGTGCTTTAGAATATATATATACTTATTGGAAAGAAACCTCTATGAAAATATACTTGTCATTACTTAATTTGAAGAAATATCTAAACCATATATCTGGGCACCAACAAAATGCAGAGATATAGAGAGTTCTTTGCAGAATATTTCTCACTAAAAAGTGTATGAATTTGATCTTAGTTTACAAGTGAAGAAAAGAATAATAACAAAAATCTGATTTTGAAATTTTGTTACAGTTAATTTTTTTAAATATCCAGGGATCATTTTTTTTTTTAAGGGAACTTTTCACAGCTCCACGTGAGCTTTCAACTGAAGCAAAAAAGTGAGAGGTCCTATAGAGACATGATACAACTAAAGAAATCAATTTAAGTTACAAGTATGGGACATAACACAAAAATAAGGGCGAAAATATCACATAAAAAGCTTGAACGGGATCTCATACCCCACTCACACTACAAAACCGGCCCTAACCGACAACAAATAGACCGATTATAAGCCATTCGGTATACATGATTCTCTGTTCAGCCTGTTGTCGGTCTGGTGTCGGTCTCATTAGTGTGAAAGGGGTATATACAGAATCTACCTGCGATTAAAGAAATCAAAATTCATACTACATGAGCAGAGCTGCCAACCTTGTGCGACCAAAAAAAAAGGAACCGTGATGGCAAAAAAGGAATTTCAGGCCCCCAAAAAAGGAATTCTTTAGGGTTGCATTGCAACCCTAATGGACATTGCAGAAATGTCCATTCCTCATGCTGTTTTTTTCCATAGTTTATTTACAAGTAGATATTTTTTTGTTGTTATTTTGGTATTATCAGCATTTCATTCTTTATGACAATATTTTTCTCTTCAAGTATGTTTTAACCTCAGCCTTCTATTGAATTTGTGATCAAATCAACATTTTATGGCAGTTGATTGACGTGCAGTAGGTAAACAAAACGAAAAACAAAGGATTATACAAATTATTTTAAATAACGTATTTTATGAAGAAAAAACGTAATTTGGAGGAAAAAAACTGAATAACTCTGGGAAAAACGTAATGGTTGGCAGCTCTGCATGAGTCATGGTAAAAGAAAAGATGACAGAGAGACGGGTTAAAAGCTAGTGAGAGGAACTATGGAAACTACCTGGGGGAGCATGCCGACATGCGACTGTTGCAACAGCCCCTGTTGCTGGGCCAGATTCTGCTGCTGTTGTTGCTGCTGTTGCTGCTGTTGTTGCAGCAAGAGTTGTTGGGCTTGCTGCATGTTTGTGGGAACCTAGAAGGGGTCGTGGGGGTGGTGACGATGGTGGTGGTGGTGGAGGTAGTCCCGATGATGAGAGGGTGGGTGGGGAGGGAATAAAGCCATGCTTATTAGCACAATGCAATGGTAGGGTATGGATGGAAGACTATCACTGCTACTTGTACTACTTCTACTACATTATACATGGAATCTATGAACTGTAATCCTCATTTTAGGACAGAATGAATGTTTGAAAAGTAATATCCTGTTACCTAGTCTCACATATAATTCCCCTCAAATGACCTACAGGAAAGGTGAATAGTACATCTCAAACAAACTCAAAATCAATTTTTATAAAAGCAGAAAATCAAATTAAATGCACAACAATGTCTTCATGCCAAATCTTTATGTAACATATCTCTATAAATTCAAATCTTTCTACAAACAAATGTGACAACTCCCGCTGTGTTGTGGCTGTTAATACACAAACATCCACACGGTATTCATATCAAACACATCTCACATAGCATTGAAATAAATTAATAGAATAATGAAAGTATGAGATTTATGATATCAAACATGCATACATGTATAGGCATGGACATTCATAGACTAACAAAATTGCTCCTGTATGTCTAACACTTGTTACACTGCATTCACCACCCCCCCCCCCCCCCCCACTTGTGATCTCTCTCTCTCTCTCTCTCTCTCTCTCTCTCTCTCTCCTGTCCATCAATCTCCGGTATATATAGACTTTCATTTGTTGGCGTCAATATTCCTGGCTTCACGAGCATGTAATTATGCCCTATCTATAACATGTTTGTCCACAGAATAATAAAGTTTATAAAGAAACATGAATCAAAAAAGTCTGGATAGCTTTAACACATATTTATCCCTTTCAACAGTGCTTTTAAAATCAGAAATATGAAGTTTAATATCAAGATTTCCACAAGTCAGACCCCTTGCGATGTCTTGCCTGCGGCCTCTAATATGCGTTTTAGGTTTAATACAGCCTATTGCCATTTAATAAGAAATCTGATAGCAAACAGCCAAAGAGGACTGGATGCACCTCAAAACATGTCAAGCAAATGATTACAGCAACCTTATCACCATCTTAGTAAAATCAACATGCTTAAACCCACATGATGTTATGAAAATCAAAATTACACACCCAAAACACTCTAACACGGTTAATTACTTTATAATATGCATGCGATTCACAGCAGTCAATATCAGTCCCACAGTATAGCTACAGATGAAGTCCTTGGTTGTACACAATTGCTCAGTGTCAATGTCCTACACTATCCAAATTCTTAACCCTTTCAACACAATCATTCCACATTTTGTGGTTGGCTCCATAACTTTCGATTGAGAGCACCACCCCCCCCCCCCCAAAAAAAAAAAAAAAATATGCCAGATGCATGATAAGAAAGGCCAAAAAATTCTGCACACACACTGCATTTATTTTTATTTCATGAATGTATTGCATTTGATCCCAAGAGTTTTAAAAAGGAAAATAATCTTTAAAATCTTTAAATTGGCAGCACGTTGAAAGATTCATAATCATTTTAGAGACATTACATTTATTAACAAAGTAACAGTAGGAGAAATAATTTTATTTCCAATTTGAAGAATAATATGTGATCAATTTAGCGCTAAAGATAAATCCTCTCCTGCAAAGGTTGTACTCAACACTATATCTAATCCTAAATCTATACCTAATGTAAAACCATATTGTAGTTAGATCTCTAATCCTATACCTCTCGCGAAATAAAGCACGGAGCAATTGCCGCGGGAGTAAATGTCAGGTAACCATAGTGATTACAAAAAGTCTGTGCTCGTCCCACCATACATGCTTTCATGTGGTCTGCACAGTCTGTCAGCCATCGGATTCATATTCACGTTAGACCTTACCTGGGAGGGAGCTTGTAAGAAGACGTATTGTTGCAGGTTGGGGTTCTGTTGCTGGAGTTGCTGCAACTGTTGTAGGTCTTGTGCCGAGATCTGTTGTAGCTGACCCGGCAGCTGAGGTGCAATCTGCAATCAACAACAAAACACATGGTGACAAACCACGTTATTGACAAATTCATGATAAGGAGAAATTTATAGCACAAGAGAATATATTGGAAGTAGACTTTACCAATTCCATAATTGCATGTCATGTGGAACTTGTGTAACATAACTTAAGATGTGACATCACTGATGAGGATCTCTTACACTGAAACCACAAAGTAAATGTCCTTTATACGGCAGCATCAAACAAAATGTTCAAAACATGCATTGGCATATTTATGTACTGTTAGAACTACAGTAAGTCATATGACAATATACTGTGGACTTCCAGAATGTACTATTTATATCTGTATGGATATGGTACTTGTCATAGGTTACGGGAATCTGTACCAGTATTCCATATGAGGGTAAAATATGGAGAGATTAAGTTCAGTGTATCATTTTGAAAACAGCACATTCTCAGTTGCCCCCTTATTTATTTACACATCATTACCAATGGAGAGGTCTATATGACACACTCAACTGTAGCATCGATGACCACTTCAAAAGTGACGAAAGTGCTCCCTGGATTATACAGCACACACAACTTCTCTGCGGTCATTTCCCACACAAATCAAATTGCTAGCTTCACCTCGAGACCTAACCCTAGATCTAGCTACAAAAAAACAATTGCAACACCCCCCCCCCCCCCCCCCAGCTATATTTTTGACATATAAAAGCATGGATCAATTGGAACAAATGTTGGGTCACTGGTTAGTTTTCACTACCCCTCCCCTCCACCCCCCCCCCCCCTCCACCACAAACAGAATACTACCACTGCACTTCAGGAATTCAACAAGGGTACATACATGAAGAAGATCTTTGAAACAAACATGACCTAAAGTTAACAACTAAATTATTCATACCCCTTGTAAATTAAATTTGATGTTTTTTTTTAAACTCAAGAATGAAAGAAGGACTGGTTGATTTAGGGCACGTGTTGAATATTTTCAGATGTAAGCTTCAATATATCACTTTCTCAAGAAAAATGAAATGGGACAGATCAATTTTTCACCTACTTAAAAAATTGCAATACTAGGTATGGGTATGTATAAATTGGTTGTTAATTGTATATGGCTCGCAGGATGCACATCAGAAATAGAAATGTAGTTAAGCGGTAAGTAAACTGTCATTTAAGACAAACATATAAACATTGAATATTTCCTACATTTCATATGCACCACACGTTGTAAGAGTCAATAACAAATACAAATTGGTATTACCGTACCCTCAAGCAAATGTTAGTCAGTGTATAATGTATGAAATAAGGTAACATGCACAGTTCAAAAATACATCAATGGCTCTATTTGTTAGAACTTGAATAGTCACAAAACAGGGTATTCTTAGTAACAGAGACAAAAAAAAAATCACTGAATGATATTTGCTTTTACTCCAATGTATGCTGTCAATGTTAAGGAATAATGCTATGAATGTTATAGGATGGAGATTACTAGAAATGTTCCTGTTAGTCATGTAATAGTTAGATTAGGCAATAACACTATGGCTAAGGCTTGAAAAATTGCTTTAGAGAGGGAAAGTGAAAGAGAGAGAGAGGGAGAGAGAGAGAGAGAAGGAGAGAAAGAGAGAGGGAGAGAGAGAGAGAGAGAAAGAGAAAGAGAGGAAAAATAAGGGGAAAGTGAGAGGGGAGAAGAGAGACAGAAAAGACAGAGAAAGAAAAGGAGAGTCAGTGTAAGAATATGAGAGAAAAAGAGAGAGAGATGAAAATTAAAGGAAGAGAGGCAGAAAAGACAGCTAGCTATGGGGACCAGTGGTTGCGTTAGTAGTTAAAAGGAGGCGCAAGTGTTCAAATGTACATGCTACACAGTTTGTAGAAAGAGTGCACGACAAGAACAACTTCAATACCAAACAACACAGCATGGAGGAAAGATTAAGGGAAAGTTGGTTGAGTGAAAGTCACTGGGACCTTTGGTTGTTGCACGCCTTGCTGCTGTTGTTGCTGCTGAGGAAGTGTCTGTTGCTGCTGCATCGGCTGCTGGTTCTGTTGCTGGAATTGCGGGTTTTGTTGCTGCTGCTGCTGCTGTTGCGGCTGTTGCTGATTAGCCCACATCCTGGTGATGTCGGCGAAAGGCTGCGGGGTAGAATGAGAGGAGGGGAGGTGTACAAGCAAAGCGGGGGGAACCATGCAGAGCTAGGGTAGCATGTAACACTCACAATGCAGCTTTTGGGGGTGGTGGCAAAGAGAGAGGCTTTTTGTGAAACATGTGGTTACTATTTCCCATGCATTACATGTAACAAGAGAATGAGATGCTGGCTGTTCAGAGCCAAAAGGGCATTAACTCTGTTGTATTATGGTTTTCGACGTAACACCCTTCTAGCTCCAAAGGCATGATATATATGCAACAAAGCGGTTTTATCATAGCAGGCATGATATTAAGAAAATATGACAAGTAGAGGGAGACCAATACCTTAAAGTGACTCGGTAACATTGTTGAAGGTTGATGAAAAAAATTGCTTAATTTTTGTATAAAATGTTACTAACTATATTCCTTCTACTATACTAACCCTCTGACATGCAAAAAATCCTGAACAAATTCTCAAACCACAAAGATATCTATGGTTTTCTTTGAAGGCGTCGATGTGAGGCACCCTCTAACAGTGATTAACAGTAAATTCTCCCAACCATTTTTGAATTTTCCCAACCGTTTTTCCATGAGAAAAATACATAAAACAGGCTATAAAAATCTGTCAACACTTAACTGTCTGGAATGGAATGTAGAGCCATTTTATTGCTTTGTGACGATTTACATTCACCTAAAATGTAATTAAATTGTCCTTGTCTTGATGCTAAACAGGCTTTGACAAGTAGCAGAATAGAAGTAAAATAATATAGTTGGGAGAATTAAGGAATCGATCAGATCAGTTTTTCCCAATTTGTACCATGAATAATGGTCCGTTTTCACTCAAATTTTCAGATTATCTGTAATTGTACATCTAGCATTGAAAATTTGAAATCACTACCTTAGCACCACTATCTCTCATCTGAACAATGTTACAAAGTCCCTTTAACCCAATGACAACAAATGCCTCATTTCTTAGGCTTTACATAAGATCCAACTGGTGAGGATTGTATTTCATTAAATTGTTTTCTTGCTCGCCCATCACATTAGACCACATTAATCCCCATTTTTAAAAAAAAAACGTACTTTAAAACAAGAAACTTTAGCTTTACAAACTTTTGTAGATTGTTTGAGACAGTCAATTTTGCAGTAAAAAACTGAATCTTGACCACTTGCGATTTTAGGAGAGAATTTCGTGTTTACATGAGTGTCCGGATTAAAGCTTATCTGCCATAGTTTACAGGAGGGATTAGACCGCCCTACAAGGTCACTGAACAGGTGGTTATCTCATCAACTCAGCTCTCAGTTAACATAAGAAAAAGAGGATCATGGGGGACCAATGATCACCGATTAGGCATTGTTTGTTATATAGAGGGCGCAAGTAGCTACAAGTAGTGCAGTGGGCCTTTAAGAGTATTGCGAAGAGATCATATTGAATTTCAAACTCAGCTAAATTGAGCTGCTTACAAGAGATTTCTCATGCCTGCAATGAACAGAGCTCAAAAGTGAAGACAGACAGATGCACTTTATTTCACGCAGGTTTTGAAAGCCTTGAAAACAAACTGAAGACTGAAATGCCAAGCATACCCATCAATATATACTTTAAGTCTTGAAGTCCACTTCAAGTTCATGTCACAATAGTCATTCTTCTTTATTCTTAATGTTTTGTTCTTGCAGAGTTTCTTTCATTTGTTTCCTTCTATTTTTAACATCATTTGCTACTGAAGTTACAAGCACAGTCCCAGCAGATGGCAATCAGAATTAAACACTCTTTCCAAGGGCAATCATCAACATGAAAAAAATTAGAACGCCAAAAGCTAAAAATGTCTAGAACAGGTTTTGTTAATATACTGAATAAATAATGCGTTAATATATATCATTAATCCCTTTGTGGGGGTAATGTAGATTAAGATGTGTCGTAACAATGCTATACATTGCACATGTAAATGGGTAAGAAAATCAGTAAGCTTGTATATATATATATATATATATATGATGATAGTTTAAGGAAATCAGTATGCTTGTATACATATTGCATGATATTGAATACATAATTTGTAGTCAGTTTAGCATGATAATGAACCTTAGCCAGATTATCTTACAATAAATCTAAAACTGAAAACCAATATTGTTAATCACAACTTAAAAGACAGGCTGCTGTCCACGAATAGTAAAAACTTTGGAATGAATTTTTCATGATATAAACATCAGGGCCCCCCGTCTTACAAAGAGTTGAAATCAATCGCAAATATTTACATCAGAGATAGGAGACTGCAGCTTGCGATTGATTTGGATCCATCGCAACTCTCTGTAAGACGTGCCCAGGTGTCAAACATCCATCCACATCGTTCCATCTGCCACAACACACAGACATCTGCCAGACACTTACACTCATTGCATTGAAGCATATTTTGTGATGTACAGCTTAACACCTCATGTGTGAAATGGCCTTCAGAGCAAATGGTCATTAGAATACTCACTGAAGCCCCTTTCCCACATGAGCTTCAAATTGAGTGAAATTATTAGAATACAGTTCAGTCGCTCATGTGTGAAAGAGGACTTCAGTGAGAGAATGGCCGTTATAATACGCATTAAAGCCGCTTTCACACACAGGCTTCAGCGGGCCGGTACCAAAGATACTCACGCTGATAACCTGGACTTGCTGCTGTTGCAGGAGTTGCAGCTGTTGCGGCGTTAGTGCTGTTGTGATGGTCTGGACCGGTGCTGCCAGCTGGGCGGCTGCCGCAGCCACGGCCTGGGAGGTACCTGCTGTGGTCTGGGTGGTCTGGACCTGGCTGGTGGACGCGGCGGCGGCTGCCTGGAGCTGCTGGGCCGCGCTCTGCATGGTGGCCATCTTGATTTGGTTCTGGAATATCAGAGTAAATGGGGTTAGTACTGGGAGTGTTTCACAAAACGTGTCATCAGTGACAAATGACAGTTTTTGTTATAAGCTACTGAAATCCTTGCTTCTGATTGGTTATCAGCGGATTTGTCACTGATTTTGTCATTTGTCATTGAATAAAGGCTTTGTGAAACGGGACCCTGGCCTGGTGGAGAGATGAGGAAGAGATAGAGGAGGAGGAGATGATGACGATGAAGATGGTGATGATGGTGGTGGTGATGTGAGGATGATGGTGACAACACGCCTTGGTCACAATAAGGCATCAGACAGGGCTCTTTTTCGGTCGCTAGACAGTCCACCTAGACAACTGGTTAGGAAACCAAATTCAACTCTAGGTGGTTGACTTAATGCTCGACTGGACGAAATTCACATAAAACATCAAACATGTTGGTAGTTTAATGAACTTGTCTTAGTTGTCACCCAGGAAACAAAGATTTAAGTTATTAGTTGCCCAACAGGAATGCCATTAGTCATTGACACCCTCTCTTCCAGCACTGTTTTAATTATATGTTTTCTATAGCATTATATCACACAATGAAACAAGGTCTGTGATCTTTGAGATTATCAAAGTGTTTGAATTGATGAGTTAGGAGAGCAGGGGGTGTTTCACAAAGATCCTAAGTCGAACTTAACTCTTAAGTTGGACTTAAAAATTATGGAGAGCCATTTGTAGCCTCAACATAAAATATATTCAATAGCGAAAACTCAAGTATTTTAGACTTTTTATGAATTCCACATCAAGAACATGAAATCTCTTATGATAATAGAAAATATCTTGATTTTAATCAATGTTTTATCCCTTTTAAAATAACTTTTACAAAATATTTTCAAAGAAGCTGACGGCTTTCCATAAATGTTAAGTCCAACTTAGGATCTTTGTGAACCCCCCCCCCCCCCCAGATCTCAACATACAACAGTCTGCCACACACTGGTATAAACTTACCGTGGGTGACTTGAGCATCTGAGCAGCAGAGGTAGCCAGTGCAACCTGTTGCGCACCCTGGAAGTTAGCCAGAGCTATGGGGGTGGCACCGGCCTGTGCAAAGGGTAGAGTCTGCAGGAGTACCTGACCTGATCCAGGCTATCAAAGCAAGATAACAGAAAAAAATTGGGAATTCCTTTGGGGGAATTTTGACATATTGTTTTCTAGAGTAACATTTCTTCCTCTTTCTTTGCTTGATATCCCATAACTTGGCCTAGTAGAATTATATAGATTTCTATAAACTGATCCACAATTTTCACAAAATAACTTTTTCTTGTCATTTTTATTTCATGATTTAGTGTGCTATTTTAAAGATCACTACAATTTTCCCTAGTTCTTTGATAGATATAGTTGTGACACTTGTACACATTTTCATAGGTCAATTGCAAAGCTTTAAATAATTACCTTCAACACAGAGTTGCATTGAGAAACACAATGAGTTGGAACAAAAATTTGTATTGACACATTTTGGTAATATAACATTGTTGCTGAACATTGATAATTCTTGAAAATATCAATAAAATACAATTTAGTTGCTGGAGAGGAGATGAAACATTTTTACCAACAATAAACAAGCACAAAATCAGATGAAACTCTTTTGAGTTCCCTCCTCACTCTCTCAGTGACGCAACTATCTCTCTCAACTGGCTACGATCACATCCAGTACTCACATTGACCAGGAACTGCTGTGGTTGTTGGAGATGCCCTGCAATGGCCTGGAGTTGGGCTGCCTGCGGTTGGAAGGCTGAGAAACCCTGCGCAGCTAGGCCCTGAGCCGTCATGACGTTGGTCGGGTGAACCAACGTGGGCTGGCCAGATGAACTCATCACCTAGATAGAAATATCCAAAGGTAAAGGGGTACATAAGATGGAACAGGACTTTGAATTTTTAGCTTTTTCAGATTTTCAATTTTTTTAATAAGCCCTGGGCTTTCATGGCGGTGATTGGGTAAACCTACATGGGCTGGCCAAATGAACTTAAGGCCACTACCTAGATAGATATAGCCAAAGGTAAACGGGTACATGAGATGGAACAGGACTTTGTTTGAGCTTTGACAGATTTTCAATAGAAAAGGTGAGAATTCCTTCTGGTGAAAAGGTTATCAAGATAATATGAGGTGAGATTCCCATAGTGTCAATCAATATCTGTAATGCACACATTGTTAAACATTTAATTATCAGAGTGCTTTTCAGATTTTTCCAATTTTTTCTCTGCCTGTTTTTGTATTTGTAGTTGTTGTTTTGTTTGCCTTGGTGTTTTTTAGCCGTTTTATAGTTGTTTGCCAAAGGGTATTAGTGTTGTGGCAGGGATTTGAACCCTGTACCTTGTGGTTCACAGTCCGGAGACTTAATTATCCACTTGACCACAACACCTCTATGAGGGGGAGGAGGGGAGTGGGGGGATTGTACTCACCTGAATCATCTGAGTTGGGGTGATGCTGACAGGTACGACCGAAGTAGCTACCGGAGTTGCCGTCTGGGGGCGTGTCTGCTGACTGGCATCGCCCCCTCCTGCTTGTATCATCACAACCTCCTTACCTAAAGTACAAGTCAAAGAGATATCAGTGATCAAGAATATTCATAAAAATGTCAAGAATGTCAAGAATGTTTATAAAAAACCAACAGTGTGATAAATTTGAGAAGAAATGAGGACTGTATTTGATTATTTTATGCAATAGGCGTCACCTGTGCTTCTTCATATTGTGCTTCTTCATATTGTGCTTCTTCATATTTTGTATAACTTAAATATCTTTTGTGTATATTTGATGTATTGACATTGCAAATTGATATGAAACTAATAAACAAAAAAATTGTCCACCCTCTGGAAAAAAACAAGAAAGAAAAAAAAATGTTTGCTGTAGCAATTGCAAGACTAGAGTCACGATTAAGAATCATGAATATGCATGATGTCGTTGTAAGCTGTTAAGGATCCTTAAAGGGAACGTTTAACAATGTTAAATCTGAGATGCACGACCCTACGTGTTATCAGTGTCTGTGATATGGTGCAATATTAAAGCACTAAAAAAAATCACGCTTCCAAATGATCAAAAAGTACTTCAAAAAGTAAAATCTTTGAGTGACCGGTTTTACCATACTCGTTTTCCCCCAAAAGACTGTAGTGTTATGAAAATGCAAAATTTGGTTTCGATTTCCAATCATCAATATCTTGATAATCAGATAGGCGATCGGCTTGTAAAAGTCATGGGATTCCTGACGGACCGAGAGGCTTATAATTATGATTGCAGCATGAGCTAAATCCAAGATTTTTTTTTCAGAATGTTACTGAGTAACTTTGAAATTCATGAATATGCATGATGTTGTTGTCAACTGTTCAGGATCCTCAACATTCACAAGGAAGTTTGTAGTAGAATAGTTTAAACACTCAACTGGGGATATGAAAGTTTGAGCCTCGGCACAACAGCACTAATATCCTTTAAAGGTAAAGACCAGTATTGGAAACGCCCCAATTTCAAAAAATGAAATGGAAGCTCTCATTACCAATCATGTGAAAGAATATGTTTTGACTAATACATGATGATAAAAAATTTGCCGGGAAACCGCCTACTAATTCATATATTTGGTAAATTTGTTTCTCTCATGGTCTGTGAGAGATATAGGGTAATCCCATATACATCTTTCTGTGTATAGTGCTTGTAACTTTACGAAGAATGGGCCAAATTTCTTATCATTTTCAGGAATTCCATGACTTTTACAAGCCGATCGCCTGTCTGATTATCAAGATATTTATGATTGGAATTCGAAATTTAAAAAAACTGTTTCCCCCAACGTCTATGGGAGAAAATAAAACCTGTCACTCAGAGATTTTTATTTTTGAGGCACTTCATGATCATTTCGAAGCACAATTTATTTAGGGCTTCAAGTTTACACCATCTCACAAACACTGCTAAATAGGGCCATGCATCTCAGATTTGTAAAACTGGAAACATTGTTACACAATGCCTTTATTAAACAACACCTTTCAATTTGCCATTTCAAACCCAGGAAGAGAAAAATTGATCTTGTACAATTGATGAAAGTCATTGACATAGTAACTGCTATAGGCCCCATGCCCTCATTGTTATTAACGTTTCATTCATCCTATTTTTTCTGCTATTTTGACCAATACTACCTGGGTTAAACTCTACTAAATACTGTACAATAGGGGGGGGGGGTTAAATAAACATTTTTTTTTTAAATTCGACTTACTTTTCTTCGCAGGAGAGTTTTCTGCTGTCTCAGTGCTCATGATGAGGACACCTGCAATACAAATAGAACAAGAAAAGAAAAGGTTACAACATTTATTTTTTTTTTCTTCAAAATGGCAAATAAACAATTTATGGAAATATTTACTTGAAAATGATGACTCAAGAAAGGTACCTGTACATTTCAAAATTTTGGATTATTAAAAGAAGGTACATGGTCAATTGTCCAATCCAATTAATGATGAAGAAAAGAAGAGGAAGAATCAACAGAAGCAAATGAAGCAGAAAATGGGGAGGAGGAGAAGAAGAAGAAGAAGAAGAAGAAAAAGAAGAAGAAGAAGAAGAAGAAGGAGAAGAAGAATAAGGAAAAAAAAAGAAGCTGGGAAAAAAAAGAAGCAGAATAAGAAAGACAGAAGCAGAAGAAGAAGAAAGAAAGAAGCAGAAGAAGAAGAAAAAGAAGAAGAAGAAAAAGAAGAAGAAAAATAAGAAGAAGAAGATTGAAAAATTTGATAGGGTTGAAGAAAAAAATACTGAAAACATTAATACTGGATAACAGACACTGAAAAATGATGTACGGACAACAGAATAAAAGTGAAGAATCTAGCCAAAAAAGGTTAAGTGAGAAAAGATAGAAGAAATCAAATAAAATCACAAGAGAGTCAGAATCAGGCCTTAAATTTCGTCATTTTTAGGGCAAGGCCAGTTTGGCCTCGAGTACCTCATATTTTTAAGGGCACCAAGGCCAAAATATTTTTACAAAAAGGGCATCGAGGCCAAAATATTTTACAAAAAGGGCATCGAGTATGAGGCCAAAAAAATTGATTCTATTTTTGTTAGATGTCATGTGTATTTTATGAAACTTGTGCAGGATCAATTTCCCATGACTTTTAGCACCAGCTTCTTCACAGAATATATAGAGGTCTATGGTACATACAAACAAGCAGGCGCGTAGCCACGGGGGGGGGGGGGGGGGCACGGGGGGCACGTGCCCCCCCCCTAAAATTTCCAGGATCGGTTGAAATTTTGTAGACCCCTTTTTTTGACCTCGATCGATTACATGTATGTGCCCCCCCCCCAAACACCAAACTCTGGCTACGCGCCTGCAAACAAGGCGGCGGCCCGCAAGCCTTAGATTTAGCAGCCAGGAGCAAGGGGCAATTTTTTTTTTAAGTTGCCCTTTGCCACAGGAATTTACCAGAGCAAGGGGCAATTTTCCAAAAACAGATAGGCCGCTTATCTAATCATAAGTTCAAAGAGAGTCTACAAATGTTAATTTCATAATGTGAATAGATCGAACGATCAATTTAATAACTTTTTAATCTTAACAATGTGAACAGGAAAGATTGATTAAGAACATCAAACTTGCACATTAAACAGTATTTTAAAGTAACTAAAAACATTGATGAGCAAATGAATAAATAAATTGTCAATTTCACAAACATCGAAAGTCAGAAGGACTTAATTGGCAAGTTTACCGGGCCGGGTATTCCAAATCAAAATCGCACCTCACACACAAACCTTCCGCCACTCTCTCGGTAGTAGGAGCAAATTTGAAGAAATTATCTTTTTAACTGTTGTATAGAAAGGCCTACATAGGCCTAACTAATGAAATAAGATGTAAAAATGTCCTTATAGACATTCGACAGCTGAAAGTGACACGCTCAGCTCAGTTGCGTAACGTGCATTCACGAAACCAAAATCGTTCCTCGCACACACACTCTCGCCACTTTTGGTGGGAAGCTGTCGGGCTGGAAGTTTGCCAGCGAAACCGATGCACCCTCGGAATTTTACCGGGACTCGAAACGTTCGTCTTGGGAAGCTGGCGGGGTAGCTTTTTGAAGCGAGGTCGGCTGGTGGCAAAATGAGAGTAACTACGATCGAGAACATCGTAGGTGTTCTTAACTTATTAATAAGATAATTCTAAATTCTATTTGAGATAAAATAATAAACTAGGCCTACAAACAAACCTCGACAGATCTCTAATGACTATTTGAATGCTTGTTTATTTCTCCATTTGACGATTTGTTTTCTTGATCCTGGCCTTCGATTTGTACGTACGTGCGTGCGTGCGTCAACAGCATGCACCATATGCATATCATGCGATCGCATAATATGAACGTACGTACGTACGTACGTGCGCTAGCGCATTGCCTATAACAAAGGGCGCATTTTAAAGCACTAAATACGAAGCTAGAACAGAGCTCGTGGGCGGCAAACTGTTCGTGATTCGTGTATTTTTACTGTTCTAATAATTTATGGGCGCATTTTCACGGAAAACACTTGCGCCTTGCCGTCTAGTTTTAGATGATTATGGGCGCAATTGGTGGTTTTATGTGCGCAAATTTAAAATAAAAAGGGCACGTCCAGTTGGAAAAAAAGGCACGTCGGCCAGTTTGAAAAAAAGGGCACAGCCTTTTTGGCCGTGAATATATCTTTTTTTGGGAGGGCACCGCGGCCAGTCATAGGGGCATCGACGGCCTGGCCGTCGATGGCCGTCGATTAATTTAAGGCCTGCAGAATATACAGATTTCTAAAGAACAGCACATTTCAAACGATGGAGAACATGGGATCAAAAGCGACAACCACGAGACTTACAGTGTCAGGAAGTTCAAAACAAACGCAGTAATCGAGATCCCTGATGCATAAATACCTTCTTAATGCATACTCTTGCAATTGCACACGCAACGGCAAGTACTATGAACCTCACTTGGTCGTCCTCAAAAACTTTCTCAAACAACCCACTACCCTGGCTGGCCACGGCAACCATACTCTTGCTTAGCAAAATGGGCTCCGTCCAGAAAGACACTTGTATTATAAAGTGCTCTGCCAGAGCCATTTCTCATTCCGATAAATATTTATGACTAGTTTCCAATGCACATGTTATGCATTTTTAAAAGGTCTTTCAAAGGTTCATTTGCAATTTCCTACTGCCCGAGAAGAGCCGATAAAAACATGCGCTGTATAATTTCCCCAATCATATGCACCAAGTGTGGGGGGAATGGTAATTGAAATGCATTAGCTACGGGAGAAATTACCATTTGTATTGAATTTTTTTTGCATTTGGTTTTTCATCTTGTGATACTATCATTAGTTTTGGGGGGAATAAGTTTGAATAACAATTAAAACCTAATGCAGCACACAAATTATACTTTTGCTTTTATGTCTTTTTTTTATGTATAGAAAGATATTTTCAGATTATCTTCAGGTTCATTAAACAGCTCACATTCCTGTGTGAGTAAGTAGGAAACTCATATTATTTTGGTACCCACTATTTTAATCTCAATATTTGAGTGGTCGTAAAATATGACCTTTTTTTTTAATGCTTGGTTTTAGCGCATTCCATAATACGGCATGTTTCTATGAATTATATCTTCTTTAAACTTCCATGTGATGGAAGTTTAAGTCTTATTTAAATAAATAAACTTGAAGAAAATATACTTGTACATACATGTACATAAATCTGCAAGTCGGATCTATCAAACTCTAATACTGTAGTATAAACTACTAAATACCACCCCCCCCCCCTCCTCTCATGCTTTCTCCCTCTCTCTCTCTCTCTCTCTCTCTCTCCCTCTTTTCTTTCTTTCCTTCAATCAAATAACATCAAGCCAGTCAATTTCAATATGTACGTACACACATACTTAATTCCTCAAAAATCTGCCACTGTCACACTAAGCAATTAATGTACTACATGTACGCTACAACACAGGGACACCCCTCCACCATGATATTATCACAGCTATTTAAAGAAAAAAATAACAACAACGACAACCCAATGTTTTCCTATTTATAAAACTGGGCAGTTCAGCGCTAACGTTGGAAGAATCATCATATCAGACACCACGACTCCCAGAAGGCCAAAACCATTACTGTGCTTGCCTTTGTGTTATTGTATATCATTATCTTCTCAATTATCACTAGTCACAGCAGACTAAACATACCAAGGTGAACAAATATTCAAAAATATAATGATCAATTCCTATTAATTATATATTCCACTGCATGTACTCAAAATAGCATGCATACGTCTAAATAATTTAGCAATATTTCACCTCCAAAATGGCACAGAAGTAAAATGAAACCTGAACAAAATTATGAAAAATAAGTTTTCAGATGGATAACCTTCTGGATACAGCACATTTAAATCAATCAATCAATCAATCAGTTAAATGTGCCAACAGCCTTTAAACAAAACCCCAAAAAGATGCTGGACATTATTTTAAAAATCTGAGTGAGAAAAAAAATGACAACAGTATTTTTCAATTCTACTTTGAAAATTGAACAGTTCAGGCTTATAACCTACATGTACACAGTTGGTTTGTTTTATGCCCAATTTATTATGATTACACATTGAGAAAGATCTACAGAACTGTATTATACGACAATGTCACATTCTTCGTCCAATATGATACATGTAGGTATCATGTGTGTCGCAGTGTATGAAATCCATGTACGTGTACATGTACATCAACAAACCAACCGAGGTGAACTTGGGAGGGCATGAATTATGTATCAATCGATCCAATAAGCTTGAAAGTTTGAAAGTAAACAGATAAATAATAACCAGTTGGGAATTTGAGACAAAAAGGAATTGTGTATTATTAAAGATGAAGCTGTCTTGATTGTGTTTCTTACTTTCTTTCTTCCTAACGTTGCAGTCTTTCCTATAGTCTGGATGGCGGCAACTACTTACAATTGTTTGGCAACAAAATGGCAATAAAATGATTTTCTTACTCTAATCTTTATAATTTTCATCTCAAACATGTTTCAAAGATATCACAATGCACCGGTCTGGAGGAAGGCTCACCGTAACACAAGTTCTCAGAACATACATTTAGGGCTCTGAACAATTTTAGATGTAGACTGACATCTCAATAGGCCCCAGAAAATATTTTTTGTCTCAAACATCAGAAAACTGTCTAACTCATAGCCATAGCCATGATGTATTTTGTGAGTGTCTATTAAAGTAGAGTCTGAATTTCTGAAATACAAACTATAACCGATCAAGAACATGAAGAAATAGGTGGATATAATTGAATCTAATTCTAATCCCCT